TTTTTGTCATTTGATACAATGTAACATATGAATGTTAATCATTTTGTGTAAAACATAACCATGGCACAGGAAGTACTATTGTTTAAAGCACTGCCTGTTTTTTGTACATTCGTGTGAGAGTATTTCTGTTTTAAATGTTAAATGTTTTAATAGGTACAAATAATGTTATTTGTGGAAATTATGTTTTCAGGTGGAAGCAGAATTTGTGAGGATCACTACTCGTCCCCTTGTCTCAAAGTTCCATGCACAGCTTTGACCAACACATTGCCCAGCTCATTAAAGTCTTAAAGAAAAAAGGAGGCTCTGCAGGGAATAAAATCAGCAGGATTTTGGTCCCAATCACACAGGTATATTTTGCTATTGGTAGAGAACATTATTTTAATTATTATAATTTGATGCTGACTAGTCAGTTTTGACAGGTATAGTGAAAAGTTAACAGTCAGAAACCCTAACCCTAATATTTCTGTCTTTTTTTCTCTCTTTAGAATGAAACCATTGAAAAGAGGAGGGAGTGCATCCTCAGGGCACTTTTTTATCTATCTGAACGAAGACCCGAACATCCTCTTCAAAGAATACCTGGTTGGTAATTTTAATAGTTTAGTTTCTACCTGTAGTAAATCAAATCTTGTTGTTGTTAATAACTAATCTTGTTACTTTCTTAAAATTTGCATAGAATGAGTTTCAATAAACTTTTTTGGAAATCTAAATACACTCACTGAGTATTTGATTAGGCACACATGTGCAATCCAATACAACAGCTCTACCATACATTCTGCTTTTACTAAGCTTATACATGTTAATTTTTTGCTGAGAGTTGAATCTGGTCAACTGCACTTGGTTATATGTCTTGAAGATGTAAGCGTGCTTACAGATAACCGCATGGACTGAGAGGGACTTTATGTTCTTACCTCCCTAACTAAAAGTAACGTCACGGGTTGTATGAATACTGCTCGCTTCATGTGTGACAAGCCAGCAGCCGTTCAACCGGGCTTTGTAAGGTTGGTGAAGAGTGTGCGTAATTAAAAGACAAAGTTTTTGGCTGTCCCTAATAAGTGTACCGCCGCCTCTTCACCTCCACAAAATACAACCCTACATTACACAGGGACAGCCAAAAACTCATGACACGCTGGTACTGGGATTTCCATAGCGAATGTTTTTATCTTATTTTTACACAAATAGCACTTTTTGAAGTATCATGTGAAGATATTATTGGTGAAAAAGGTTTCAGCGCATGTAACAGTAGAATTTGTAGTTATGTACAGTGACTTGTATCTGTAAGTATGAGTTGTGAACTTGTACAGTGATTTTTATGTGTCAGTATGAGTTGTGTACTTGTACAATGATTTTTCACAGAATTTTTTTCACAAAAAATCTAAAAGTACTCATACTGACACATACAAATCACTGTACACCAGAGCATGTGAGCGGAGTGGGGCTGTGAGAATTTCCACTCCTCGCTCACTAGGCTGTTGGCTCCGTCCGTCTAATTCGCACTACGCCGCTCCGCTCAACACTGCTCCTCGCTCCACTAAAATTTCCTCCTGCTCCAGTGAAATCGCTCCACGCTCGCTCCAATTTAAAAGAGGGACAAATAATCTGCAT